ATTGCACGAACCCAATTGCACATGCAAAGGTGCTCCCAGCTCGGCTCGCCCAATGTGTCTCCACCGCATTCCTTTTCCACCTACTCACCCAGCACGGGCAACGACCTGGCAGCGTACCACCAAGGCAGCAGCTCTGGATACAACAGCAACACATCGAGCCCCAGCGGCCTCTCGCGTCCCATGGATCTGCTCGCGGATGCTGCCTCGAGACTAGAACAGCGCCCTGGCCACTTCTCGCACTCGAGCCGACACCACCTGACCAGCGGCTACCATCCATATCAAAGTCGCCTTCCTGGCCTTGCACAGTACGCCTACTCATCGCAGCCCATGTCAAGATCGCACTCGCACGAAGACGACGATCCTTATTCGCACAGAATGACCAAGAAGTCAAGACCGGGCTCGCCCATGTCAACAGCCCCGCCTTCACCCACCTTCTCACATGATTCCGCCAGCCCAACTCCTGATCACACTCCTCTCGCAACTCCTGCACACTCTCCCCGACTACGCCCACACGGTTTCCATGATCTCCAGCTCCCCCACTTGCGTCACTTGAGCCTAAACCAAAACTTTTCGCCCGCTCTTGCGCCCATGGAGCCATCGACGGACCGTGAGCAGCCCTACATCCCCAGTCAAACCAACGGCATGAGCATTGGCGACATCATCGCGAAACCAGACGGTGCGCAGCGCAAGTTGCCTGTGCCCCTTCCCAAGGTCGCCGTGCAAGATTTGCTCAATGGACCAAGCAACAGCGGATTTTCGTCTGGAAACTCGTCGACGGCCGCTTCGTTGGCGGGCGAGGACTTGTCGCATCGCACCTAGACCACTCTCGACCCAATAGCATGTATCGGCGTTACTGGCAGCATAGTAGCAACATTCGTCCTTTTTCTCTTTAGCGAGCGTTGAATCCTGATTGGGAGCGATAGACATGGGGCACAATTACGAGGGCATATCACGACCTGTTTTGTTTTTCCACAAATCCCACACCGTCCCCGATAGAAAACATTCTTCTTTTTGTACTTGTTTTTTTTTCCTCATGCCGGACTTCATACCCCCCGCAACTCCATTGGCGGTTTTGTATACGTTCCACACTCTGCCATTTTGGGCGACTTTGTTTTTTTTTACGGGGAGCCAAAAGTGTGGGGGAGGAGAGGAGGGGGGGGCCTTGCCCTTATTGGCAGGCGAGGGAAATGGATCGGATGAGATGGCGTAACACATACTCGATGGTGGTTGGAACCCCCCCAGCTCAGCTCAGCTCAGCGCAGCGCAGCGCGTAATTCCAAACAAATTCCCACTCCTGCAAAATGTGCGCTTTTTGCTTGCATGCAATTACGAAATGGTTATGCGATGGTGACATGGCCTGGCCTGTCTTGTCATGCCCTGGCCTGTCCCGTCAAACCTTGTCCTGTCGTGTTCGTGTTCTTGTTCTGTCTTTCGCTCGACACCCTTGATACTTTGCACTGCACTGCTCACGGTGATCTATTTTGACTTTTGACCGCATGGAGGTGACGTGATTGACACAGCCCTGGTTGATGGCAAGCAAGCGATGATCGGACATGGATGAGAATGCTTGGGCAAGTGTGTGTGTGTTGGAGGGAAACAGAAGACGCAAGACGGAAGAGTGAAGACTACAGTAAAGGATAGAGAATATAGTAGAGAGGGTACAGTGTCCAACTGACACAAGCGATGGGAGAGTATGGTGTAGTGTATACTACTATTGGTGAAAAGTGCGTTTGTTATACATTGCAAATGTACGATACTGTTACATCTGGATTCTTAGATTCTGGTTGAGTACATGAATACGGTACATGATCACTACTACTACATACCGTACATGAATCCAAACTACACAACCCACTGACACAACAACAAGAAAGGTTTCCCCCCCTCCCACTCCGCACAACTCCACACAAACACAACACGCACACATTTCCCCCCTCCCCTCCCCCCAAGCGCAAAATT